GTCCGTAAGATAGTAATATTTCGTCGTTTCTTAAGAATGAATATTTTCTCTTTATATATACCGTAGATGGTAATGCTAACGAGTAACCTGTTTTTAGATGAATGTCTGCTTGTATGATCTGGGCAGGGTTGCAGAAATACAAATTGCATAAACGTACAGAACTACAAAATTCATGAATCCATATATCTTTATTAGTTGGTGCATTTCCACTGATTACGTTTCACTTTTGTCGCTAACACCCTTCTGACCCGAAGTGCAAGTGTACAAGCCCAGACACCTTGGTGTTTTCTTGGCTCTCCAAGCTTTGCTGATCCGTGCATTTGCTACCACCAGCTGTCGGCCGGTTTCTATCTAGCCCATAGGCACACTTTTGGAAGGGGGCTCACTGGGGGGTGTGAGTTTCATGATGACTATGGAAATCAGTCGTTAATCCCAATTATGAAACTGTTTTTAGCTATCCACTGTTTATATGGATGCGCACGTTTAGGCAGCTCATTTTAAAAACTCGAAAAGTTGCTGGATAAAAGGATACTTGTGGTCATACATGATGTTAACTCTTGAGATGAACTTCTTAAATACCACTATTAGGAAGGTCTTACAACAGCACTTACGTGGCGTCGGGTTGCTGCAAGCATTATTTTGGAAACGACTGAATAAAGCTCAGTGTCACGACAGCACTTTGGATAGCGTCACCGGTCGTGTGCTGAGTGAACAGTCATTTCCGGCATATGTTTGGAGACCTAGTTTGAGGAGTGTTTGCAGAAAACAAAGCTTTGAGTGAAGTTTATCAAACGAACAAGATTACCACTCTACTCGAGCAGTTGATATACCTAAAACGCATTGCTGATGACGCTGCTGGATCACTAATGAATTTCAAAAAACACTTCTCCACGATATTGATCATCAACATTAAGAAAAGATTACGCAGAATGGTAAAAGTCCTCCTTCAAAAACGATTTCTACAGTATTCCTGAAAGTTGTGTCTATCGTCGTTAAGGTGATATGTGATTCAGAAGTATCAACGATTCCTTCAAGCAGCTATGACATGTGGTCTTCAATAAATTGCACAACCTATAACAAACAGGAATTATGATGTCATTGAGCTGAATAGTGAAAGATATTTCTCTCCATGGATTAGTTGCAGGTAGGCGGTGGCTTGACATGCGCAGTACATGTCCAAGCCACCTGGATCGACTAAGGTCCACAACTTCTTCAATCTACCTGGCTGTCTTGCAGCCATAGTGCATGGAATGAAGGTCAATCATAGGAACACTTCAAAACCTATCCTACACCATTATCAAATGCAGAATACCCCTGAATGTAAAAAACGATACTTCTGAAATATTCTGAATATTTAACTGACAGAAAAGGAAGATAGCCACATAAAAAGAAGCATCTATAGCAGTCAGACAGTCAGAGCACACTTTCTAAGCTTCGCACCAATGGATTAACAAGGCCGGATCAGTGGAAATGAATAATTTACTTCTTAGTTTGAAATTGTTTTCATGGCCAACTAGCCAAGTTTAGGAAGTGCTGTCATTTTTCTACGCAATATAAAATTGTTTGTTATTCTTTGGTGATATTGTACAAGTAGAAAATCCTCAAAGAACTAAAGTTATTTTACAGTCTGAGGTATGTCTGCAAGTCATCAGGGAACCGAAGTCAATTTGTGAGTAAAGTATCCCTGGAATAAAGCGTTTTTCTTACAACGTTAACTTTTTTAGTGCTCAAGACCGTAAGTAAAAAGGATTTTCAGACTTAAGAGGCATCAATTTGACTGATATAAGCAGTGTTTTTGCATAATCTACTAATTACCAGTGTTACTTTTGCTCCCATTACAAGATGCTGACAATGTTCAGATAGTTTTGGAAAAAAATATTATTGTTTTCAAAAATTGATATTTCTCCTCTGTAGCATGTCAATCCATCTAGAATGATGCTGGAGGTGATAGGCATCGTATTAGCATCGATGTCACCTGATTGTGACACATTTGTGATGTATAATTCGCAGAATGACTACTGGAAATGTTAACAGTAGCTCATTTTTTGGACGAATCAAAATTAGTGAACACGTCGCAAAAATTTGAATGTTAATGAGTTCGACATCTAAGTCGTCCTCGGAAATATAATTTGGAGTGAATCCTCAGATAGCAATGTGACACGAATGCTCCGTCACACATGACACCTAGATTATGTGGTGATTGTAACAGCCAAAATCCAATAATCTTGGTCTGAAAACGGAAAATAACTAGGCGGTGCCAAATAACGCGAATCTGACTAGTTTCTGCTTTCTACTGTATAACTTCCGAACTTCCGCAAGTGGTGCACAGTCGAAAATTGGATCAAAATATCAAAACATGGGTTGTAGTAAATCAGTGGTAGATTCGTTACAAAATCTGTGGTACTATCAAAGCAACAATAAGTTATGTCGAAATTACAAAAATACCTCAACAGTGCCGTTGGGTAACTATACAGTCCAAATGTTCTCGGGTGCAAATACGTACTATACGGTAAAAACTGGTTAAACAAATACAACTGTTAAGTACTTGACAGTCAATAAGAATATTCCCGACAAAAGGGATCAAAACTCTGTCTACCAGAATCAAATCAACAAACAAGAGTTTCCAGTAGACAGTCAAAAGACAAACAGTTACATTACAGCACAACCGTAGGTTGAACCAAAACAAAATGTCCGGTGCAGTAAGACAACCTTGTCAACAGCCCAGCGTCACATAATAGAAAAGTGAAATATTCATGATAAGTCCCAATCATACAAAGGCAAATACTGAGTGCAAAGTTAAAGAAGACAGTCAAACAAGTAAATAACATTACACTGGCTAGGGTCAAAGGTACACCATAGATAACGAGGATAAAAATATTCAAATAAATGTCAATACCATCAAATAGGGTGATCAGGAGGGGTTTTCAAATCATTTTTCCATTACAGTGACCACTGCGCATACAAAATAATATCTGTAAACACTGTCAAGACGAGTGATAAATGAAACTATATGATCACATCCAGACAACAAGCTCTGAGGTAACAATCGTGTTAACCGCTTTGAAATGGTTATTTCATCTTGTTCTGAATAAATTGAAATTCCGAATCAACATACCCACAACATGACTAGTATATTTTTTATGACCAAGAAATTCAGTTTTACGCGACTGAGCTTCCTACCTTATATCTCATGTTAGATTAAATTGTACAGTGATTTTGATATCTTAACGAATGATATGCAAGATCAGTTACAGATCATCGTACATATTAGCATCTGTAGAGTGACTACTTTGTTCACTTTCTTCATAGCAATTTTCTCAGGTGCAACCTAAAATCAGTCTGTGTTGCTTTCCTTAGATGTAAGTCACATCAGAATACAACCGAAGCTTGGTACGGTTCTAGGATATCGCATCTGATAATAAATAACTTTCAAAGATTCTGCATCAGGATGTCTGTTTTATATCAGCCAGATTTATGTGATAATGATGAGATTTCCGCCTTCGTACATTATAAAAATACAACAGTTTTGACTAATTCAACCCAAAAATGAGTGAAACAAAGTTCCTAGAATCGTTTCAAGATTAATTGCATGTTTGAACAATGCAAGAAAAAAAGACATTTGCATAATAAAATGAGAGCATTTTATTTCACGGCTTTTCATCAGCCGCAAATAAACTACAATTGAAATGAAGTATTTGTAGTGATAATTGCATATTGGTCCAGACTTATTCAGTATATATACAAAATTATACTAGCATTTATACAAATCATACCTCGTCAACACTTCATAATTCGTTGGGAATTCCTACTCCGAACGCATTTTAAATTGATTATGAACCTATAGGTGTTCGTAAGGACAAGAAACTAAAGTATGTTGTTTTCAAGGTAAAGCATAGTTAAGTCACACTTTAAATTCATCAACAGCACTCCCATGATTTGCGCAGAAAAATTGAACTTAAATCATCGGTAGTAGCATTTTTTTTTAAGTTGAGAAATGTGAGTATCGCATATGGTGAAAATCATATCAGATATGATCTTTGACTAAGTGCATCGTTAAAAGCATTTTTCAAGAATAATTAATTCTTCATAACTAATTTAAACCACTGGAGGAAAGTTAATGCTATATACCACATATCAATCTTTTGATCATAACTTCCCCCTAATAGGATGATGGATGAAAAACTACTGATTCTGTTTACTTCACAAACAGACAAACAGTGAGTATTGAGATGAAATCTTAGTACACTGCACACGTGAATGAGAATAATGGAGGAAAACCTGTAAACAACATGAAATCCAGGTTTTTATGTCTTATATATATCATCTATCTATCGCTTAGGCATTAGCTAAGATTTGAATCTTCACTTATAGATATTTGATTTTTAGTTAGTTCTAGAGATACAGAAGTAAACGAAGTGCAGGATTTGAACTTTGATTTGCATGTTTAGTGTGTTGTAGCACAAAATAATCAGCTAACGCTACAAGAGAACAATAATAATGTTAATTATTTCATTGATAGATAACACTGTGTATACCCATACAGTCAAAACATTTTTGTAAGCCTTACAGACGTCAGTAATTCATTTTCTGAGATAAATAGCACCTATTTGTACTGAAATCTGTCTACATAGTCTATTGCAACTTTCTGTATTCCATAGGATTAATCTTCGAATTCTCTGCTGGTATCTGCTGCTCTACCTTAGTCCGTTTAAAATTAAATTAGCCTCCAGTATGTTAGAATAGGCATTATTCGATTATATGCATACGCACATATCATATGATAGAAACCAATCATGTACACGTGTTTACGAAGTAGGCTACAAAACAACACTTGTGATGCGGCAGCTCAGGTCAGTGTGGTACTCGAACTCAGGACCCGTAGCTCTAAAGTTGAGTGTTAATATCGATTAACTACCACTCCACAACTATACATACTATTATGTCAACAGTTCAAATAATAAAGAAATCTATTTTTCAGTTCATGAATAATTAATTAACTATTATCCATGTTTTTTAGATTTATCATAGTAATTCAGTGCCTCGAAGACAACTTCAACAAGAATCAAAATAATTATCATCCATTCTAATCGAATTGAATGAATAGAGCGTAAGTGATCAGCAAGAAGCAATGTCAACTCATTACACATATCCAAACGAGAATTTAATACCTATATGAAGTAAAAACAGAAAATAAGTGAAGTGATAAAGCAGCTTTATAACCTGTTAAATGATATTGAAATTAATTGGGAGAATGGTTTCATTAATGTTGTCATTAATAGTAATGATGGATAGTGGCTAGCAGAGAGATCCAGGATTTGCCTCCTTCCCAGTGAGTGATGTTGTTCCCACTAGGATTCGAACCCAGGACCGGTCGCTTCAAATACCAAAGTGTTATCCATAAGGTCACTGAGTCGTGGAGGCCACTACTTCCTTATACGATGACAGTATCTTTTATGTTATTGCTCATAATTTCTCGTCGTTGACTGGACCAAATTGGTCGGGCTGTAATAGTATATCAGACTAAAATTACAAGTAATATCGAGGCATTCATGAAGGAGCTCGTACTCCAACAGAGACCAGTTGGTTCTGTTCAGTCAAAGACGGCAAATTCCGAACAATAACACAAAAAGTATGCTTATCGCATAAGGAGTGACTATCGTGACATAGTGACCTGATGCATAACGCTTTAGTGCTTGAAGTGACGGGTCTTCGGTTTGAATCTTATTGAGAAAAACATCACTCACTGGAGGGCAGGTAGATCCAGCTGACGAGTCCCAAATGGGACGAAATGTGTGTCCTGGATTTCATTGCTAACCACTACCCATCATTATTAAAAAACTGAAATTATAGGTAGCATCAAGGCATCCGCGCAAAAGATCATAGCCCAGTAGAGACCGATCGATTCGGTCCAATTAACGACGGGAAATTACGAGAAAAAACATAATGTTGTTATACCTCAATTTATAGGCTCAATAAATATTTTGACATGGACAATAAATAACAGATTGATTAGCTAGAATACTATGCAAGATGGTACAATAATCCAGTAGTCCGAAATTCGAAACCCTACTATTCCGATATCTAGCTGTGATTTTTTTGACTGATTCTTGTTTTCTAAATTTTTGTGTTGATTGAGTGGACTACTACCATACTGTTCTATTCACCGCCCGATAGATGAAAACTTATCAACAGCTGGTTATTAAAAGGAAATGAATCATGACAATAAAGTATTTAGAGATAAGTGGAATAAAAGGATAAGGGAAGATAACTAAGAATGAATGTGACTATGCTACTGCAAGTAATTCTGAAATATCTCCCGACTTCTGTTTCTGTGGTATTTCTCAAGCTATTAGTTAGAAAATGTGCACTTCTTCTTCAAACTTAGACCAGTAGTGCGTAATATTTGTTAAAACTGATCCTCATGAACCTTCTTTCATCCACTTTTCCTCCAGAAAACGCCATAGACTGAGGTATCCATTTGTTGTGGTAATTCATATATGTTTAAGTCATCTTGTACCATATACATATACAACCTTATCAATTGATTCATCTTCTTTGGATAAAACGTTTTATAACTTTTTTCTGTGCCTAAGCATTTTCATTACACAATATTATCGATTAACACTGCATGAACTATCTAACTGAATATCAGATTTCCCGTCATAAATGGTGGAAGAGAAAGATGCCTTATTCCAAAAGTCCTCACCCACGCCATATAAGTCGAAGTTCATTGAAGCATACAAGTGAATTTGGGGGGTTGTGGGGATTTGCTGATTTCTCAAGTTGACATTCATTATGGACTGACAACAGTTGGAGGAACAGTAGAAACCTGGGAGCAGTGGACAGCTGTTTCGTCCTAGTATGGGACTCCTCAGCAATGCGTACCCATGACCCCGCCAACCGGGATCGAACCCAGGGTCTTCAAGTTCCGTGGTCAGCACGTTACCACTGAGGCCATGGGTCAATTATCCAGTGGTTCATATTTCCAATTTCTGTTAGTTCACAACATAGTGCAACCATCACCTAATGGTATCGTCGAGTATTTGTCCTCACGGCAACCGGGTTTGCCTCACCGGTCAATACTTCTCATTGAAACTGCAGGAATCACCTCTCGAAGCTAGTCACTAATGAGTACTAGGTCAATTGGCCATTGGATTTCGACCCAGTGGCTCAATAGTAACGTGCTGGCCACGAAACCTGAAGGTCCTGGGCTCGACCTCCAGCGGGGTCACTGATGCGCACTGCTGAGGAGTCCCATACTAGGACGAAACAGCTCTCTAGTGCTCCCACGTTTCTAATGTCAGTCAATGATGAAGAGTCATATAAGCACTGAATAAATTCATAGCTTACGTGAATGAATATAATCCTACGTTTGAATCACCAACTGTGGACAGTTAACGTATGATAAGTATTAGGATCCTATTTACTCAATCTGAAACATTCTGATCATTCAGTACCAAACAATTAACCAATTAAGTCGAAATCTACTCAGCAACCTTGTGTACATTTGTGCAGTATACAACCACTAACATGTATTGTATGAGGACTAATAATACTACCTGGTTGCCCAAACCTCGGTAAGTGGAATGGTATTCGAACCCGTGACCCACTTAGTTGAACATCACCTCCTTAAGCTACTTAGCTATAACTCCGCCGTCTAACCGAATGAATGGTGGAAACGAGGCAAAACAACACTAAAATATCTAAACTGGCAGGAACACACACTAGTCACGTGTACATTCCCTTTTATAATATTAATTTCAACTTCTTATTTGTAATGCTCATTTGAACTGACAAAGCATTTCTTACAAGTGTGACGAGTTTAAGCGATACGTCATGTCACCACCTTATTACACCACTAGGTAGTCTCCAGTATGATTATTAATGAGAGGCTGTGATAATGAAGATAACATTTACGCATAGTTTCATATCTACGATATTCATTAACTGTTGCCAAAACGTTTTCTTCGTGATATAAAACATTAATCAAGCTGCATCAGTCACTAATGCTATCCTGCTAGAAAGCATCAGCCTCGTGTATTTACATTACTGAAGGAATTCAACCATAGAGTGACTGTAACTGTTGCCTCGAAGAATATCAAACTTATCATACAACTAATATACTTTGAGGTTTATAAGGCTTCTATTTTTAAGGTAGTATTCATCATAGAGTTATGGCTTGTATTATACCGTCGTTGAATGAACCGAATTGATCGGTCTCCATTGGCATATGCGCATCCTGGATTCCACTGCTAGCCACTATCCATCTTTAGTATTCATCAGAGACTGATTGATATCTATTGGAGGACCACTGAAACCTGGGGACAATGCACAGCTGTTGCGTTCTAATATGGGACTCCTTAGCAGTACACACCCACAACACCACCAGGAATCGAACTTAGGACCTAATGGTCTAAACAACGTTTGACAAAAATAAAGTAATTGTTTCTATAGGATTGAATGATCTGATTTTAATTACAACAATGGAACAATGAATAAACAAAATCACACTTACTCTTATTCGAGATGAAATGTTCAATACACTTTTCAATTTCTCAAATAATTTCTCAACTTCAGGTCTTTCCCAATAGAAATCTGGTGTTTCAATTAAATTTGTACTCACATTCAATAAGTGTCTACAAGTAAGGATGGAAGGAGGAAATCTTTTCATTATTCATTAGTCAATTCATGGTAAAAAAACTCAAACATTCAACATATAATATATTCATCATTCTTCTAAAGCATAATAAGCTATTAAAGATATAACCGACACGAGGGAATATAAGTAGCTTTTACCTCATTGTAAAATATCCATCATGATTTCTTTTGGTAAAAAGAATATTCAGCTTACACGATGTAATCCATATGACAACAATCACGGTATCAGGAATAACGATATAAAAGTTCCTTCATTCACAAAATTGACTAATATGATTAGTAGTTAAATATACATGTCAATCTACTGCTGACGAACAACGAACAGATTCAGCATATAAGGTGTATTTATACTTGTGTAATCTCAGCGTAGTATATTAGAACAAATAACGAAATAAACAAATATTTTGTATTATTCCTCAACGTTTCGATTGTGATAGGAAGATCCTTCTCAAGAGTATGAATCTAACATTAAGTTTTCAATTTAGTATTCAGGCCTTGGTACAGAAGGTGACGTTTACAATCATCCAATCACATTGTGGTATGGCAAAAAGATCAATGTAATGCAGGTGAGCGAATTAACAAATCGGTCAGAGGCTTTTTCCAGTTGTCCAAGTAAGATGGAACAAAAATAGGGTGGGGAAACCTAGTTCAACTATGAAAAGTACAATGGAGTTATGAGGGCATCAGGGGTAAGAAAGAATAGGGTACTATTTTGAAAATATGATGATTAATAGTAATGATGATAATAGAGATAACGATAAAGGTACTTTTATTGATAACTGAAGTATTAATGATAATAAAATGGATTATGTAACATATAGAATGGTTTATAGAATGTATGTAACTAAGAAAGGAGAGTAAAATTGATGAAAAGAGTAAATCAGTACAGTATTATGTAATAGGGAATCAGGAAAGTTAGTAAAATATAACCAATATTTTTTGGCGTGATTAAGACGATTAAGAGAAGTAACACCAGAAACTACTCAAACATAAATAAATTCGGAATGAATCATGGGAAACAGTGTGAAATGAAGTTGTGTTCAACCTTGTTCTCAGATTATCTCTAGAGCAAAACAAACACTTCTCAATTCTTTAGGTGGATTTATTAAATAACTATTCAACTTAGATAACCAAACTGCTCATATTATTATCCCAAACTGCTTGAAATAAATAATATCGACAACATTATAGAATGGGTACTGGGTTCAAGGTAATAAAAGGGACCGAAAAAACTACTTCTACATACATAGTTCTCGTTTGAGTTTATGCAGTATGGATCTCATTAAGGCACCATCTCTCTGTTGATAGATTTCATAGTAAAAAGTGAGCTGAACACTCATTCAAATATGAGTAAGATGTAACTAACTTCAGTATGAAGTTAGTGCTGATGATGTCGTCTAGCAAGGCGATGAAAGCTTCACGATTAAACAACCCAGCTCAGAGAACACAATACAACCAAGACCATCCACCTGAGCTACAAATATTCTCCATCATTTCAAGATGTAACTGTATCTACATCTACACCCTCTGATACAATACAGTCAATCAAATACTGAGCATACTCTTTGCTTAGGTGGTACATTTTGAGTAGACATATAAAAAAATACCTAGTTTTATCGATAGCACCTAAACCAGCTAGACAATTAACGAATTCATGCAGTGAACTGCAAATTTGTCTCCTGAGCGGTTCTAAGAGTTCAGTTATCTGAAGGAAAACGGAGTGATAGCCATATATATATATATATATATATATATATATATGAACAAATAACTAGTAGATAAGTTTACCAGGAGACTGAAAATATTGACATACTTTATTGTATATAATTCACCCGTCTTCTTAAGGACAGCAGACCGACGAAATCGAGCGCCTCGACCAGTTTTCATATTCTAAAGTGAGATAGACAAGCGAATAAATAAAAATTAAAATTATTACTGAAGAACAATATCTAAAACTCGAATTCATGATGCGTTTATCTTTTCATTTGGCAGTCATCAGTTGGAAGTATCTGTTTGTTGTCTGCAGCAAAAACAAGATATCGAAATTTATGAAATTTAAAACTATGCTTAGAAAATGTTTAGTTCGATCTACACAGTTGTGCTATTTATACTAACGTCTGAAGAGGATCTAATTGAAAACGAAATCTACATAAAAAGTTTAGTGCGAATCCAAAAGCGACTTCAGAGCCAAGTGAAATAAGCAGTTACGTAGGTTGCTGTATATCAGCTTACAATGAAGTTTTTCTCACATAAGATAGAGACATAATTGGTTATTTTAACAGTTGTTAGAGTGGTGGTCCACAGACAGATCAGTTCTGGAGCATCATCTCCGATTTGACGGGTGCGAAACGCATCCCGAACATAAACAGATTTCTGCTCGACGCTTTTAGAAAACCCTATATTTCGTCAGCGTCTTCACCTACATGAAGAAAATATAGTCACTAAAGATAACCATATGCAATGACCTGTTAGCATCATATGCAGTACACTGGACAGATGACAATGATACACTACATCTATGTGACTCAATTGAAGTATATGTCAGTTTAAACACAAGACTAGAACATCTAAGCTTAAACTACCTTGAGTGGTATTGAAATCCAGCAATTGTTTGTCAAATGAGATATATTTAGACTCCTCAACAACAAACATTTTCGTGGAATTTAAATGGACATGTTTACTTAGATCTGATGAATTTTATGCATGGTGAACACTAGCATAAACAACTGCATGAGTGATTCCATGGAATATACATAAAAGGGTTAAGAAGTGAGATTAACTAGTGTTCGCTTTTCAATAGTTAACACATGTATTAGTTGTACTCCCATTGGTGAAACTAGGCATCCAAAATCAACAGGTGGATGGATGAATATGATCCAGGATAACCAACCACTAGAATTGACCAGTAAGCTTTACATGATTAATATTGCATTCCCTAACAAGTACACTGCATGACGTGCAACATATATTTTTGGGAGAGGGGTTATGATATCATAATACACAGGACACTTATGTTGAAAGTTCATGATCCAGCTTAGGCTAAATAGTTTACAAATTTGATCTATACAACTTACTCACTTTTTTTCTGAATGGTAGTAAAAAGTGTTATCTTTAGCTTTTATACATAATGAGTAGTTTGAAGCCTAATACAAAGAATTGTCAACCGTAAGTCAGTCGCATAGTTGAAAAGATTCAAAGAATCCAGTTATCACCAAACATGTGTTTTACAAAACTAAACTAATTGACTACTCACAGACAAAGAGGTAAATACTAATGATAGACGGCAGCTAGCAGCGGAATCCAAGACTCGCGTTTCGTTTTATTTAGAACTCGTTACCTGGATTTACAACATTAAAACAAGTAAATATACTATGGAACAATATGGGTCAAAAACGCAACCAGCAACTTTGTGAACATCTACGCAGTGAGCAGTCAGCCACATCTACTGTGTGATAGATAGTGATAGTACTTGGGTGCCCAAACCACGGTAGGTGGAGCTGGGCTCGAACCCGCAACCCATTATTTGAAAGCCATAGCTTCACTACAGCATGGGTGGTACTTAGAAACCGCTAATACATTTCAGTAGTATACTTCATTATTTTATGATACTTTTGCATCAGACACGGCACTTTTTGATCTTGACTGTTTGGTTTTCAAAGTAAACCACGTTAATACTACAGTTGGATAGATGGAAAAGCATTCAACTGTACGAGGTATGTCGATATGGATTGTGAAATCTTTTAATAGTGTACAAATTGATCATCTAACCAACAACCAGTCTAACAAGAATAAAATGCACACACATATCAAACTACATAAAACTGCATGCAAAACTGAACGAATACAATCAACAAAAGTAACTAAGAACCATATCTTGTCATCGATATCTAAGCTTACCTCAATCCATGGTTCGATTTCAACAACTGCAGCGTCGAATCCATTTTCCAATAGGGAAAGTTTAACTAAACAATAGTGTGTTATTGATAAACAAAAAGGGGAAATATAAATTTCACAAAAAATATCTTTCTCTCTCTCTCTCTGCATCTTTCGATATAAAACATAACACAAACAGAATTTGAAATTCCATGCAATTAGTTGCTTTTATGAATTGTGGGATAAACTGAATTTTGTGTCCCCTATACGCAATAAATTTAAAAATTGTATACGATCAGCTGTCGGTGTTATGCGATACGTTTCAATAGTAAAATCAAAGTAGTGGATTGAACAGCTCAGTGGTAACGTTTCTGACTTCAGCAATGGGTGACACGGGTTCGAACCTCAGGCTGGACATTACTTCCGTAGAGGTTGCAGATACGCCTTGCTGATGAATGCCAAAAAGCATGAAACCTAAGTCCAGGGATTCCAGACGATTCCCTCCATCTAACTAACATCTATAAAAGTGCATTGCGATATTGAGTCAACTAACCTGGTGGCAATATTGCAAAATCACCGATAGAATGCAATCAGAACTTAGGACTAGACAACATGAAGTTGGTCATCTTTCTGTGACCAATCAACGTGCAAAGTAGAATCCACCACGGACTGAAATCAGTTGGAGGACCGTTGAAAACCTAAGAGCACTGCAAAACTGTTTTGTCCTAGTATGGAATTCACAAGCGGCGTGTACTCACGATTACGCTAAGGCTCGACCTCAGGACCTTCAGGTCTCATGGTGAACATGTTAACCATTCAACTGCTGGATTGAAGTAAAATAGTTCACAGTTTCCTATTTCTGTGAATTCGCGACATAATGTGATCATCCATCAAGGTCTTCAGTTGGCATTCGCTTCACTCCCAAAGGGGTTTACCCCACAGGTTACGGCTTTTCATTAGAACTTCGGGATGTTCATCTCGGAGCATGTCACTAATATAGTTTGAGATATATGGGGATTTTACTTCAAGGTAGTATTCATCACGAACTGACATCAACAACAATAAATCTTTTCCAGGCATCTCAAGAAAACCTAACCTTCCACCGTGTGGGTAACCGGGAAGTGTCAACAGCCCTCACAACTCTGTCAGCACCGAAGTTCCCTCAGACCATTTCTCAGTTAATAACCTTACATTATCTTTAACTCCTGGCTCTGCGGCCTTCGACAACGGTCTGAGTCCACAGAACCAGCCAATATGATGAGTCAGCAAAACTCGTCCTTCAACTTTCTGGAGATTCGATGGCAAGTTGTCACGGTCTTGCAGGTCTAGGCATAACATTAAGCGCCAGGACAGAAAGCTCACTACGAGACTGGATCCCAGTTGAAAGTTGCCTATGCGCTGTCCAGCTGAACACCACATTGAGAACTAAAAGGAACAATGAAACTCGCCGCTGTCTGTTTGTAATCCCTCTTTACGCACTCACTGACTGTAGTTCGGATGAAGTGAAGGTTGAGTTCTACCGAAAACTGTCTAACCACCTTCTGAAAGCCAAATGTTCAGGCGTGGTATTTATTGCGGGTGGTTTCAATGCACAAATGGGTAGACCAAGTCAAGCCGAAAGGCACTTAGGTGGTACTTTCGGAATCCCGGCTGAATGAAAAGATAACGGTGATCGCATATTACAACTGTATTCAGATAACCAGCACAAACTTCAGTCATAAAGACATTGTCTGATGTGGCGTCCACCGAGCTCAACTCAGCAATGGACACAGATAGATCACATTGTTAACAGTTATCGCCGCAGAGGGTCAGCGGGAGACTGCCGCTTCTTCTGGAGCACGCGTTGGTTCAAGCGCGTATATGTCTACGTCTTAATGGAGGTAGGAAATTTTTAGCAACTAGACCATTATGAGTGCAGCTCAACAATCAGAGCACCAAAGCCGCTTTCAGTGAGAAACTGATTAGGCGGTTATCGAGACAGAAGAATATCATTCACCAAGAAGAAGTTAGATTCCATCTCCAGTCTGCTGTAAAAACAGCGCTGAAGTCTGTAGCCGACTCTCAAAGTGTGTTTGAAAAGAGCCAGTGGATATCAGCAGCTTCTTCTAAATTAATGGGTGCACGCGAACGCATCCCTGTAGGCTCTGAATGCAATGAGGAGCGAATGCAGCACAAATATAGGCTGACAAAAAGCCTGTGCAATGACAGCGAACAGTGATGAGCAGGGAAGGCTAAAGAGATGGAAAAGACGCAGCGACAGGTAACAGTAGACAATTATTAAGATTTATTAAGGAAACTGGGGGGGGGGGGGAAAGGTCAACAACGGTTAGTGAGACTATAGCAGAGAAGGATGGATCTGAAATTCACTGGCAGGAGGGACGACTGAGACAATGGGCAGAACACTTCGAGAAACAGTTCAACTGGTCTTCAGCTATTATTGCGTTGCCTCCTTTCCAGTAAGATCCTGAATGGAACACTAAAAACACTTGCAGAAGTCGAGAAAGCTGCAGGTAACTGGAAACAAGGAAGGGAAGCAGGTCTAGATGGACTAGTTTCCTAGGTATACAAGGACAGTGGTAGAGTGCTTTTAGTCAAGTTAACTGAAGTATTAACTAGTGTATGGGAGTGATCCTCTCTGACTGGGCTCAATCACTGATTATCCCTGTCTTTAAAAAAGACAAGAAGTCCTCTTGTGATAACCACAGAAGAATCAGCCTGACGAACATAGTGTCTTAGATTCTAGGTTCTATAGTCATTAGACGCCTGGGTGGAGCTCGGAAGCAGCTAGCCCGAGAAAGCCAAGCAGACTTCAGACCTAACCGTAGGTGTATCGACCAAATATTCACACTCCGCCAGGTTCTGGGACACAGGTGGGCTTGTCGATGCACGACACTAGCTATATTTCTCGACCTGAAGGTGGCATCCGACTCCGTCGATCGAGAAATCTTATGACAAAATCTCTCACTGAAAAGTGGACCAAGAAAGTATATCATCTTATTGAAGGTTCTTTACTCGAATACATGTGGGCATGTTAGAGCCTATACTGAGATTTCGGGTGAGCTGTGTACGTCGAGTGATATCCGTCAAGGATTACTACTCTCTCCATTTTTATTCAATTTTATCATAGATGTTCTTATGGAGGTCTCCCATTCGTCGCCTGACAACACGACTGATCTGATCACAGAAGAATTTTTGGTAGACCTAAAATATGTAGATGACATAGTCCTGTTAGGTGAAGACACTGACAAGATGTAGAGTCTTCTGGACACCTTTAGTGGCGATTTAAGAATGTTTGGGATTCATTCCTCGCCACCTAAAAGCAAGTTGTTGCCCCGGGGCTAGCCTTCAACGGTACCCTGGCTAACAATATAGAATGAAGCAGTTGAGTGCGTTGAACACATTGCTTATCTAAAAAGTTGGATCAGCCCTGGTGGCTCAGTGGCCGGCGAAATCTCTGTAAAGATACAAGAGGTTTGATCGGCTTATGCCGACTTACACACCACCTGTGGCGCCGCCGCAGTATCCGATTGTCTATTAAGGGTAGAGTGCAGTGTCCTGCAGTCCGGTCTGTTCTACTGTATGGCTGTGAAACATGGCCATTAAAGGTAGAAGAAATGAGAAGGCCTTAGGTATTTGATCACCACTGCCTTCGTAGCATAGGTTGTTTTTCGTGGTGTCACCACGTGAGTAACGCAAAGTCAGATGTAGAGTTTCAGGGAGAAGAGGTAAGTCAGTTGATGAGGTTATGAATCTTCATCGATTGAGATGGTTGGGACACATGTGACGTGTGCCTAGTCCCCGATCGCCTCGTCACACAATGTTGGCTGAAGTAGTTTCAGGCCGGAAAAGGGCCCGAGGCGCCCAGACAAAAACATGGCACCAATGTATGAAGGCTCTGACTGTTGGTTTGAACCATGTGCGGCGATGCAGACTAGGTGGTTGGGGTCCGCGGGATAAGAGAAACCAATGGTTGGAGACTCTAGGTGATGTGGCTTAGAACCGACGTCAGTGGAGTAGAGGTATACACACATCATCTTCATCTCAACCACTGTACTTAAACTCCTCATTTTTTCATTTCTCCTTCCTCTCTTTTACTAATTTCTACTTCTTTTAAACGACTTTTCTTTCTATCATTTTCCATTTTATTACCTTGTTACTTGATGTGCTGATATGAGATTAGGTAACTTGAACGGTCATGCAGTAATGTCTGGTCCTATGTTGATCTTGATGATGGTGAATTAATACTAGCCAATCAGATTCAAGCACAGATCATTCAGCGCTGTGGTTAAAAATGTTGAAAAGTGAATGTGTAATGGTGGTTCCGTGTTCTCTGAGCTTTGTTATTTTTTCATGGACGCTTCATCACCAGGCTTGGTGATATCCTAAGCACCAACGTCATAAAGAAGATATCAAAGTTCACAGAACACCAAATCACCATTACCCTTATCCTGAGCTAAAAATCATTTCCTTGATTTCACAAATGGTTTATCCGTAAGTGACCATCTAAAAATAGAAGTGTGTGAAGAACAATATCATACCAAAGTAAACGGTAACAAAACTAAGGATACCTTACCAGATAATGCTAAAGCATCAGAAAATGCAAATTTCTCCAGTAGTGCATTATCAATCACCGGGGTTAACTCCAAACACCCTGCTGAAGCTAAATTCTGATGATGATTAGATTAGGCAAAGTGCAGTTTTGTTTCTCACTTGTTGTTGCTGATTTTCTGACTGGTGCAGTTTTGTGAACTGCGAAAAATCTTCTGGCGATACAGTTTGTAAGTAAATGTCTTCACCAACAAGTCGAGTGCTTTTGCTATAATTCAAAACAAAGATATATGGAATTAAAGATATCTTGGAATTACATACACAGATTACCAACTGGCCAAAAAGTATGATTTTAAGAAAAGTCAAAATATAGCATAGCAACGGGAAATTACAAGTATCAATAAAGAACAACTGATACCCATTGCACAAGTGGTGGCCCTCGCGTCTCAGTAGCCTAATGGATAACACTTTGTTGTTTGCAGCGGAGGGTACTGGGTTTGAGTCTCAGTGGGAACATCACTCACTGTGGTCCAGGTATATCCAGCTGACGAGTCTCAAATAGGACGAGACACGAGTCCTGGATTCCACCGCTAATCATCAAATAGACTATAAAAGTCAAACCATATTTTAAAGACTTAACTTTAAAAACACTAAACAATAATTGCTGAGTGACTCTCAGCTAACACTGCATCACTTTTCTTGGGCAATCATCCAATTTTTAAAACTAAGTACATGTTAAGTGAAAGTGACCATGTCGTTTTAAGGCTATATTTACAGGAAAGGAAAGGTAGTGATTCGGTATCATAGTCACTTTTTCGAAAACGGATTTACAAACTTATTTTACAGCGAACAAAATAGTACAATAGTTTGTTGTCTCAGTTGGCATCATACTGTCACTCCGAATGGAATATTATCACCAATTTTTATAAACTTTATTTACTTCCTCCTATATCACCAAATTTGATCACGATAACATGTTAGCGAGTACATGCAATGACAGAGACCACTGACCGTTTGCTTACTTGAAACAAAATAGTAAATTTTTTTGATCACTGGCACATAGAAGTCTAGATTAGGTTGGAACAGAGTTTTGGATGACCATATCAAGAAGTGGCAGAAGTCGATGAAGTCCTTAAGTGTTTGTCTGAGCAGTGTAGGGGGGTGTAAGTACTTTAGGGAGAAATACTCTTCCACATTGTAGGTAGCCGGGAAGTACCGACCACCCACATGGTTCTAGAAGTGCACAAGAACCAATCAAACATAACCTGTCCTCCTCAACTCTGTCTCTTCCTTTGCCTTCATCTCTTGATACTAATTTAAGACCAATCACTCTGCAACCATTTTCAATGATCAAGGCCAACGAAACCTCATTCCTAGTCTCCTCAGACCACGCCCACCATCGATTTCATGTAGGAGCTCTCAACGTCCGAACTCTATGCCAAATCGGATACCAAGCATCGCTCACCACAACTCTGGAATCTCTAGTCATGGATGTGTGCAGAGTCTCTGAGACACATATAAAGGACCCGAGTGTGGTTATTAAATTGACCTCACCTGGCCATAGTGATAAATCTTCAAAATTCATCTTACGAGTGTCCGGAGACGCAGTGGCTAGCCCTCGTGAACTCTCTGGTGTAGGCATAGTATTGAGTTATAAAGAAGAAAGTGCGCTTCTCGACTGGATGCAAGAAGACTCATTCCAGCAAACTCTGACCACGATGAAGAGCGAAAGCAACTGAAACACAAACTGACCAAGTTTTCGCAATGATCACAATTAGTGGTGAATGGCGACAGTGAAACAGATAGGAAAGGTATCAGCCGTGAGTAACATTTGGTAATTATTTAGTTTTATTAGGGGTACTGGTAAGAAGACGATGGTGAGTCAAACCATCAGCAACAAGAATGGAACGCTGATAAACTTTCAGATTAGGCAGCTAGAACGTTGGGTGAAACACTTTGAAGCATGGTTCAACTGGCCGTCAAAAACGCCACAGTTGCCTAACATCCAGCCTGAACCTAAATGGGATGTAGATATCGGTCCTCCAACTCTCCTCGGAGTTGAGAAAGCTGTATCGAACCGGAAACGATACAAAGCAGCAAGACCTGACAGTTCGCTACCTAAAGTTTTGAAGGATGGAGGTAGAAAATTGCTGACTAGAATGATGGAGTTACTGCGTAGTGCATGAGAATCAGAGGTAGTGCCGTTAGATTGATGTTTCATAGATCATCCCAGTTTATAAGAAAGAAGAGAAATATTGTGACAACCATGGGAGGATTAGCTTGACTAATATCTTGTCCAAGATCCTAGGGTCCATAGTTATCCAGTGTCTAACTGGAGCACAAGAACAAAAAACGGGAAAACCAGGTAGGTTTCAGACCTGGTCGAGGGTGCATCGATCATATTTTCACCCCACAACAGGTTCTGGAACACATTCATACCTGTCGGCTGGTGACTGACACTTGCCATATTTCTTGACCTGAAGATGGCATTTGACTCAGTTAACCCTGAGGTGTTGTGGCAGTGTCTGACTGAAAGGAATACTGGGCAAGTACACAACGCTAATCAACGCTCTCTACTCAAACCCATACAGCTGTGTCAGGGCTTATGGAGAGTTGTCAACTGAGTTGATGATAATTGATGCAGTCCGCCAGGGATGCCTACTGTCACCGTTCCTATTTAACTGCATCACACACGTACTAATGGACGTAACCTTAGGTACTTGTGATTTTACAGGGACTGACCTAGTCCCTGAAGGCCATCTGGTTGATTTGGAGTATGCAGACAATATTGTCTCGCTGGGTGAAGTCGCTGAAAAAATGCAGTTTTTTGTAGACGCATTGAGCAGAAATCTGAATATGCTTGGCATGCGTTTCACTGTCACCTGTCAAACGTAAGATGATGCCACAGGACTGACCTACTGCAAGTGGCCTCAGTTTAGTGGTAGAGAATAAAGTGGTGGAATGTGTTGACTACTACCCTTACTTGTGGAGTTTTATCAGCCCGAACGAGCTAGTTGCTGAAGAGATCTCAGCTGGGATACAGGAGGCCCATTTAGCATTTTCCAACTTGTGTCAGCTGTGGGACTGGCGAGATATCCGACTATCTATCAAAGGGCGAGTATGTTGCGCTGGGTCACCGAAACGAAAGAAGTCAGTGGTTGAGGACACTTGGTGATATGGCTGAAAACCTATCACAATAGCGTAGATGTATTCACTCCTTGACATCTTCTATTGTTTGAATATTTACACCAACTTTTATTGCTAGATTGTTTATTCTCTCACACAACTTTGTCTACTTTGATATCACTCCTTTTCTTTCCACCCGTTCTTTGTGCATGATGTTTGAAGTGTGGCAAATTGGGCTGATGCACTCCTGTGCGAGGTTCTACGTTAACCATTAGTCAGTCAATCACTATTTTGCGTAATTACATATTTTATTTTCTAAATCCTTTGTTTACTTTCTTACTCTAAGCCCTCTCTTAAATTGTGTAACTTCCCTTCGTTATTCAATATATTTTGACCCCTGGCCATAAATAATTCTGGAATGTCCTACCCACTGTAACATATATTAGCGTATGTACAGTAACTGACTTCATCGAAAAGAAGAATCTGTATTCATAAATAACACTCTTACACATGCAACAAAGGTGACTCAACGCAAGTGTCAACCATGTGGAACATTGTATTGAACGAATAGACTAACGAACAAAAAGGAAAGACTGTATGTGTGATATCATTCATTGTTAAGTGTGTGTGTATAAGAAATTCCAACTGTTGATATGACCATTGGCAGTAGTAGTTGTGCTCAAAATATTGTCAAGATAAACACTTGCCAATAAAATTGTATAAATAAAATATTAATCTTTTGCACAATGTAGAAAATTTTCACTGATATATAATAGTAAATAAATCATGCTTACTCGCTTAAGCAATACCGCAAATCTTCACGTTCAAATAAGTGTTCATCTAGAAATCCTTGACTAAATTCACGAAACTGTTTCAAAAATGGTTGATGCTACAATACCGAACAGAAGATTATGTAGAGATATGTATCATAAATAATGAATTCATCAGAAGAATAACTAGACAAATAGAAATCAAAAGTTTTGAACAATTTTTTCTTTCAGCACGTACACTGGCGTAAAATTTTTTTATATATTATGCGACTTTATATGAATTTTGTCAAGATTTGACTGGGTAGTTTCACAAATATTGGGGGCTGAGCGAAAAGTTGATGTTATATATGTTATATTTGGATAAACATCAGCGTAGTGTAAGGGTTTTTATATGATACCGTCGTTGAGACCGATCAACTCGGTCCAATCAACGACGGTATCATATAAAAGCCCTTATACTAAAAACTATACCCGTCGCACAAGAAGTGGCTATCATGGCTCGGTGGTGTAGTGGATAACGCACTGACATTTGAAGCGATCGCTCCCGAGTCCGAATCCCGGTGGGAACAACATCATTCACTGGGAAGCAGGTACATCCAGCTGACGAGTCCCAAGTGGGATGAAATGCGCATCCTGGGTTCCAGTGCTAGCCACGATCCATCATTAACATAAACATCAGCGTGTTTGAAATAAGAAATCCCAATCACTCACAACATGGTGCACCGATATATACGATGCATTAAGGCATTTCAGATATTAGTTCATACAAAATAATAGAGGTTATACGTGTCATAAATGTCAATGTATGAAGAATATGTATTTGTTGTATTTGGTAAAAATGTCACTTTTGTCTGTACATAAAAGAACAGAATGAACTAATGTTAATATGAAAATTTACTTGATTGTGGCTGGCAGAGGGATCCAGGATGCACGTTTCCTCCTATTTAGGACTCGTCAGCTGGATGTACCTACTCCCACTAGAGACTCGAACCTCCAACCTGGATTTCTCTGTCACCCATAATCAAGTAAATTATCATAATAAATACTCAGACAATATCAAGGCATCTGTACAGGAACCCATATACCGACAGAGATCGAACAATTCGACTTAGTAAAACGACGGAAAATTACAAACATACCAACAAATAGTAAAGACTAGGTTGTCTGTTTCCTTCATTTTTTGAAGGCCCCAGAATCAGTAGTAATAATAATGATAATAGCAATACTAACAATAATAATGAGGGACATAAATAAAATTGAAAGCACACTGCTTATTGCAGATGATGATGAAAAATCAGCGCAAATAGGAATAGAATAAAATTGAACATTACTGCTAATTTACATGAACCATGCTAATGATTGTTTGGCTTTCTTTACATCTATTTATTATTATTATTTGTCCCTTGGGTTCCTAATGGAACATAGGGCTTCAGTAGCACGTCTCCAGTGAACTCTCTTCTCTGACATTTTTTAAACCTGTCTTCACGACAGCCCAGAAGCTCTCATTTTTTCCTCACACCATCTCCTCCATGTCACCCTCGTCTCGGACACCCAACTCGTCGCTTTCCATCTGGGTTCCACTCGAGGGCCTGACACGTGTTGTCCCCAATCGGCCTTCTCAGCGCATGCCCAATCCACGAAGGAGACAGCTGCACTCCATCTCGTCGATTCACGCTGTTGAGGTTAGCCTGTATATGTAGGGACTCGATAGTCAGTCTTTCTTTATATGACACAAAACCTTCTTGTAGAACTTTGGTTCCATCGTTTTTATCGAGTGTAGTGCTATCCCTGATCTATTCTGCAATCTCTGAATATCTGATGAGGTCTATAAAATTTGTTTTGGACATTGTGTACGCTCCTTGATCCTCACATTCACCTGCCTAGATGTTTCCCCTACATATACTGTATAACAATCTGAGCAACTCATTTCATAGACACAATTCTGTTAATTTTCCATCAGTATTATGTCTTTGACCTTTATCAAAATAGAACGTTGACTGTTTGTCATGCTGAAATAAACCTTTGTGTCATCCTTGTTAAGAATTCTTATTCATATCTCTTTACAAAATGAAATCACCCCAGTATTGATCCATTTCTTTGGATGACATTTCAAACTATTCTTCACTTCATTTTTCAAGATTCTTCTAACAAATCTATCAGGATAGTTATTTGTTTTAAGTACGGATCGAATCAACTTTAACTCGTTATTTTTGTCTTCTTCCATTGTCATCAGACGATTAGCTCTGTTGATGAGACTCTTAGAAACGGTCAATTTAGTGGTTAAGGTATGTGCAAAATAATAATTCAGACGTCTATGCAAACGTGTTGGCTTTCTGAATATATATTCATCTTCATTTTTGTTGTTGTTCTGCTGTCTTTCGATCATGGAATCTAGAAAAGTCAATTGGTTGACATCAAATTCAATCTCTTTGGTGAATGTTTATATGTTTCATCGATATATATGTATCAATGCATCATAGTGTGAATGATTAATAACCCCATTGAAAAAAAGTCATAATCTAGTCACTACTGAACAATGAGATGAACTATACTACTTTTTAACCTGTAATATATCTATGATAATTTAGATTTTGAATATTTCCCTGTAGAAGCTCAGACCAGACTTTCGTGCGAAGAGTTGGAATTTCTTATTTCCAGCACGCTGAAATTTGTCCAAATATTACTTATATTATTCAACTGTTTAAAATAAACCGTATAAAAAGAGTTCAATATTCTTGACATAATGATTAAGAAAACACTTTATGAACATATGATTTATTATATATATCCAACACTACCGGATACTGGTAGTGTTATAAATTCCATTAGACAAACGACTGACGATATCCTTGTGTCATTAGCTATCATAATCTGTTGAGATGCATACTGAAAACATTAGTAGGTTGATAAGGAAGGGATTTAGGTGTAACCAACAAAGGTGCGCACTCACAATCTAAATCCATGTTTGTGAAAAAGCTATGGAACTTCTTTTGTAAGTCGTTCTCAGCCTACTATATCATATCTAACTGATGTGTCTCTTATATTTGTCAGAAGCGAAGAAGGATGCTGTATGAACGTACAGTTAGGCGCCATTTTCGATTACCGATTGTATACTATACGCAATCATCCCCAATACCCTTCGTAATTGTCACAAACTCACATCACTAACGTTAATAGCTAAGTAACTGAATTGATACTTTTTTGGAGCACTATTTCTCTCAAGGTTGTAAATACCATTTGTCACATGGGGTGGTGACTATTTAGCTTCAACTTTCAGTCAATGGATCACAGGTCCCACCATATTAGTTAGTTATACCTATCGTGTTATTTGTCATAAACCTTGGAAGATACTCATGACTTCACCATCAGTAGACAAATCTGTATGTGGTTACCAAGTTGCATTCATTATTATTCTCAACATTGAATCAAGGACACCAACTACGGAATAAACACACTGGCATTCGATTGATATTCCCTTACTTGGACGACTGCAAACTTTAATAAAACTTCTGATATAGTTTACTGTGTTATTTTGCATCACGCTACTTACTACTTGGAAAAATATGCAATTGGTTCAAGCTGAAATGCTATCGACAAAACCTTAGACATCTATCTTCACATGAGTAACCACTGTGCACTGACAGTCGGTTTCACATAAAAATGTACCAGTCTTATATCATCCAAACAACTCCAAAACCTGGGGTATATCCATGCAAGAACTCTATCTTACATCTGAATTTATCAAGGCATTTGCACAGGAGCCCGTATGTCAATAGCGACGGGTCAGTTCGGTCCAATCAAGGAAGGGAATTTACAAGTTATAAAATGACAACTATATTATGCCTTTCGCACAAGGAGTGACTATCGTGACTCACTTGCCTAGTAAATAACGCTCTGGCGTTAATAATAATAGCTTTATACCAAACAATATGCATGACATGAATATAAGAGTAAAACTTGAGCACTGTGGTGGATTGTAATTCCATTTTAGTCTGTTTATTAGAAATACCACACAGTGAAACAGTAGCATTTATTGGATAATGTTTCGGACACAATTTATTGTCCATATTCATATCAAGTAACTCCACAACTTCGAGACAGACTTTATATATTCCTAATTTTCTCTCCCTCTACTACTACTCCTCCTCCTACTCTTGTTATCACAGAGAAGGAGAGAAAATTAGGAATATATAAAGTCTGTCTCGAAGTTGTGGAGTTGCCTGATATGAATATGGACAATAAATTGTGTCCAAAACGTTATCCAATAAACGCTACTGTTTCACTGTGTGATTTTCTAATAAACAGACTAAAATGGAATATGTATGACAGTATGGAATTCACAGAATGTAATTTTTCAAAAAATTCACTTCCATAACAATACTTTCAGACGAAACGGTTATTACATCGGAATGATATCAATAATAACATTATTCAAGGCAATAATGTGAAATAGTTAGCTGTTTCTGGATGGCCTTCCGGTCCATAATGAAGAATTAAAAGAATTTTAAGCATAATTTTGGTGCTGGCGGTTCATTCAAACGGTATAGAAATCTTCAACTCAAGCTAAGCGTCCGATGGATAGAAATATGATGTTATTTTTTGCACCGAAAATTCCATTTCCATATAACGTAACATTTTTTCTCTGCTTTGTTAATGACTCGAGAAACGGAGAGTTGGAAACAGTTTATAAATATGCAAGAGTACATGATACGTTCAAAGGACATATTTAAATGACTAAGACAAATTGAAAGGAAAAAATTCGATCGAAAATGTTCGACGGATAAATTTGGTAGCCAAAAATTCAAGCACGTCACCGTTTGAAAGGACTGGGTTCTGGGTTCGAGTCTTAGTCGGAACAAAGACACACAGAAGGCTATAACCTATAACAAACACGATAACACCTGGTGATGACTTTTAGACTCACCCAAAGACTAAGACTTAGGAACTATAAAATCAAAATTTATCAGTAGTATCAACCTAAAAACGATTAAATCAACAGTACAATTCACAGTAGCTACTTCAGCTTTTGAATTAGATAGGGACTGTGACTAATCGGTTAAAACACTTAAATTTTACCCAGAATGTTATAATTTTGAAGCCTGAGTGACATACTTCGCACTGGGCAACCGAACAGTATTACAGGTCCTCATACAATTAGCGTGGCTCATGCCCTATTTAGTGCATAGACATGTACTGTGCAGAGTAACAGTCTTTTACTCATTATTTACTGAATAAAATAAATGAGGAGAATAACTCAACAACAATTATACATGAAGCAGTGAATTTAGGAAAACAGATTAAAATGATAGAGACTCACATCTTTCTCAGGCATATTCCAAAACACAACCACACCATTACTAAGAAGAGGAAATTAAGAAGAAAACAATATGAGGAAAAGAGAAATAATTAAAAGTGGGCAGAACATAAAACATCCAATTAAAGATATCAGTGGATGGTAATCACCTGGTGTCGGTGGGATTCTGTCGATCAAGAAATGTAATACATTAATCTATTTATATACATCGGTAAAGTGCACATATTGTGATGATATTTGTAATTCCCCGTTGCTATACGAGGTCGAATCGCCCGGCCTCTACTGGCAGATGGGGTCCCCTGAGAATGCTCTGGAGTTTGAAGCGAAGGGTACTGGGCTCGAGCCTCAGTGGGAACATCACTCACTGGGGTGCAGGTACATCCAGCTGACGAGTCCAAAATAGGACGAAACCCGCGTCCTGCTAGTCACCAAGATCAATATTACAATGCATATACCTGATTCGTATACTTCTACTAGTATATCGAAGTTTCAGGTGGCAACCAGTTAGTGCATATAATTCAACCATGTATATGACTCTGAATAGCCTAGCGATAAAGTCGACACTGGATAGCACATACTTAAATCCTTCGATTAATAATGAGTTTCGTTCAATTTAAAAGCATAACTGGATAAAAGGCGATAAAAAAACGCGAAAACTAAGTCAAACCGAAACTACTATGAACTAACTCCTGACGGCGAATATCGTACAACTTCTTAATTGTTGTATATGATGGCAATAGTTTAGTAGAGTAAAGTCTCAGACTGAAGTGTTAAAATACGCAACAAAGTGGAAGAAGAGTCTCATCAAAATTGTCGATTAACCTTTCTAACTAGTATGCCAAGAAGTATGAGATCCCGATTCATCTGCACCAGTTTACATTCAATACAGCGAAAACAATCAGTGTCGCATATCACTGAGATAATTCCTCCGAAATGTGGATGCTACGCAAAAACAGGACGGTGACACGTTATATAGCCAAGGACATTCAGAAAACAGTTACTTTCAGCACTCATTTTTCATCTTTCGTACACACCATTATGCTCAACAAATGTTCTACTGCTTGAACTGGCTGAAAGGGATGTCTAGGAAGTATATCATCCTACTAAAAGCTTTAAACGTTAGCTGTAGATGCTTGAACACCACTACCTTCACAGCACCGGCTACGTATAATGAAATTATGTATGTAACCCAGGAGTCAGGTGCAGTCTTAGGTGAAAAAAGTCGGCCGTTGTAAGCCCACATCGGCTGAGATGGTTGAGACATGTGTTACGCCTGCAAAATTATTTTCTACCTCAATCACATATATCAGATTAAAGTAGTAAAAAAGGATAAGGATAACCAGACTAAAAAGTGGCATCAATCCATAAAGCCTCTTTGACTGATGGTTTGAACCATGTGGGAGAATGAGAAATTCGAGTATGAAAGCCATAAATAAAAAACTGATGATTAAAGACCTTAGGCGATATGTTTCAAGATCGATCGCAGTGCCGCAAATACGTTCAGGACTTCTCTTCACACTATTATAATACTATTCCTTCGAGGTCTTCTACGACTTTCATCATATTATTTCCATTTCTGCGTCTTTTACACTGTAGCTTGATATGCTGGTGCGAGGTGTGACAGTCAATCGGCCAGTCAGAATCAATGTGAGTCAGGGGAATACTGGGTAAGAGTTTACAGTCAGTAAGCATGGTTTGAACCACTACCCAGTAATATCAGATACTACGATTATATTCCTTGACTGACAGTTATACGCTTCATCCAACACGGTGAAGGAACGAAAAATAAGTGTATTTACTATAAACAATTAGTGATAAAAACTGAATAAACTTGACTTAAGTGTTCAAACACGATAGGGATAAAAGTAGTACGCGAGTTGATGAATTGAGTCTGTCTGCTGATTGTATGCAGTTTACACCTAAGAATGTCTCATTCTGAACAAATTAATCACAACACAGCAAGAAATACTCTCACATACTATTTCTAAAACTAGCTTACTGAAGGAAAACAAACAAGAAGGACACAAGAAAGAATTTGGAGTCATATCAAGGACCAACGGTCCCACTTACCAAACTCTGTTGGCTTATAGACTGCAAGGGATAAACCTTATTTCCTATTCAGTCAGTTCGAAACTTGATGGATTGACTTTGTCTTGGTCTAACGACTATGAGGCTGATTCACTTTTACTCTCGCTAACATTGTACGTTGACTTCGGCATTGAGTATAAATGTACAGCAATTATTTTAGGCTATTCATACTACTTCATATGTGAGCAGACTGACAATAATCCTTTCTGAACTATAGCCAACCTCAGAAAAAACTCAATACAAAACAATGTAACAGACAACTGTATCTGCCAAAAGTCATGATTAATACTATAAGGCTTTAAAGTTGTAATTTCTAGTTTTATTACGCTAAATGAAAACAACCTTGATGCAGTTACCCACCTTCATCCGATAAGGGAAACTGGAATATGCATGCTTAGCTAACACGTACTTAAATGTCCTAAGCTAACTGGAGTATACCGAAATATCATTTGCTCATACTTCAAATTCCCAGTTGTTTATTAAAATGGATCAAAACGATTGATTTCTGTTGATAGACAAGCACTTATCATCCTTTTCATTTACAGTGTGATGTTATCCTTTGCCAGTTTTGGAATTCACTGCTAAATCCTGGCAAGCGTTTGAAATCAGAAAGTGACTAAATTGAGATCTATGAAGTTTCTATTTGTCTATATTGATAGAGTAGAGAATTTTAAGCTATCTGGTTTATGATATATCTGAAGTTATTGGCTAAATTATTTCAGGTGATATAGCTTAAGATCAACAGCAGTGACGCAGATATGCTCATAACCCATATTCCTTCTAATATTGAATAGGTTACAATTTCACCTCTGATTCACTCGTCTCAACTTTGCCTAGTTTTCTACTTTTAATGACATCATTTTCATCTGGCTAAGTATTTTATCTTGTTTGTTCCGTCCTCAGCCAAACTTTAATTTCGCCAGGAAATATCACGTTGTTTATTTCTACCCGTTTTTATACAATCTTTGATAAGCCCCTTGTTGTATTATACTCAATTTTTAACCGTAACGGTCACAGATCCAAACATATTCCAGATATTAGATATTAAGGCGTCAATTAGAAGGAAGAGCTGAACCTAATTTTTAACAACAAAATACAATGTACTACACTATCACATCTCTTGGCATAGTGAGCATATTTTAAACCTGATCGACAAGATTAGGATCAATGTTGACCCCCTAAGGATTAGACAGCTAGCTAGCTAACAACTGGTGACCACTTCGTGTACATCCCAGATGTTTCTATTTAAGTAGTCAATATGTATGAGTATTTGTCTAGTAGCTGAATGGATGTATGACCACTGAGTTGGACTGTTAGCAAAATATAAACGTAAAACTGCTTCCGTTCACCTTAATAATAATAACATCACAAATTACGTCAGAGATAGGCCAAAAAACGGCACACAACCCAGAAATTTTAACTACATATATATAAACCATATTTAAACACAAAAGTACCTACTTGAAAACAAATGCATCCCATACATTTACAGGATTATAATTTTCAGTATGTCTTCTATTAGACAACTGAGAAATTAACAAAACTTCAGAGTATAATTCTGACGGCAACGTTGGAAATGCATACAAATCACATTTTGATAGATAAGAGCGTAACATCTTTAAATCGATATATTGTGCAAATCCATAACCGGAGATATTGAAAAAACCCGATGGGTTCAAATTGGCAGTTTCCTGTAGGAATATTTTTAAAATAGAAGGAAAGATAATAAACTAGTAGTATCAATAAAACAACACAGTTCAATAACTAGACGAATTTCCAAGCATTAGAAGGGTATGAGTTTTATCCATTGTGTGAAGGCTACTGACACTATCTGGCAGTACAAACCTTAGGTAGACAGGGGCACGGTTTGAGTCCGTCACTTGCTAATTGAAATAAATTCCACTGTCTAAATAAAATGAACCACAGCTCATCTTAGCAAAAGCAGACGAAGATAGACGAGATCAACACCGGACTTGGGATTAGTGCGCAGCGATCCAATTTGCCATACCTCATATTAACACATCAAGCGGAAATGTACTAAGATGAAGAATCAAGAAATACGAAAAAATGCATTGACGTAAGAGTGAAACTTCGGTAATTTTGTAAAGCATAATTCCAGACTAGTCTGTATATTTGATGTAGCACATATTGACAGAATATTATTTATTGGATGACATTTCAATCAGAATCCATTGTTCATTGTTATATCAAAGTCACTCCAGACTCAACCACCACTCAGAACTCCTTAGTGACTTGCTTCGATACAAGATTTCCCGAAGTTCTAATAGGAAGTCGTAACCAGTGGGGCAAACCAAGTCAGAAGTGAGGACAGACACTCAACGACGGCACTGGATGAAGGTTTTGCAATGTCACGAACTGATACATGTAGGTTAATGTGAACACAGTGGCTTAATGGTAACGCGCTGGCTATGAAACCTGAGTTCTTGGATTCGATCACTGGGGGAGGGTGGTGGTTGGGCACTACTGAATGGATATCCACTTTGTCAGTGTGTCAAACTTATCGTCGGTAATATCCTTCGTACTGATTCATCTGACAAAAGAAGAACTAGATCTATTTTTCTGCTGAACTAGACTAATTAATTATAATGAAATCGAATAACGAAGGGAAAACAGTGTGGAAGTGTTAAGAATATGGTGAGATAAGAGATTGAACATTCTCCTTCTACACGCAGAGATCAGGTTCCAATTGGTGAATTGTCAGTGTTTCTACCATGGACAAGTCTCGAAAGTGTACCGCCTTTGAAGTCTTCCCTTTGATTCTGTAGATAACATTGAGAGAGAACTCTGGTGGAGCTTGGTCTAGAGTTGATAAAATGTTCAAGAACTGAACTGCTAATTTCCATTTTCCCTGAGATACATTTAGGAAGTGTGCGCTAAGTATGGCCGACATAACTAGCTCTGCATGAGCAAGTAAATTTGCAGACAAACACTGAAGTAGCCCAAAGCAGTAGCTTTTCTCCAACACACACTGGAACTACTTGATGACTAGAGAAGCTGATCTATAACTTATCAGAGAAGAATGTCATCTTTAGCCACTTGGAGAGACAACTATCCAAGATCTCTGCAGCTGCATCAACTTCACAAGTAAAGTCGTCTTTGAAGTTGCGAGTACTTGCTCCAAATTGTGTATTAATTTCAAGGCTTTTATCAATAAACCTGAATGGACATCCATTTCGCGTAAGAATTTGTCGAAGTATGTCCAACCCATCGTAAGTAGTCTCACTCGAACATATTCTTCTGATTCTTGATGTGACAAAGAATGAATCATATTTCTTTTTCTACTGAACGGTGTTCAGCTACATACATAGTCATACATAGTCCAATCCATGTTGCTTCCAGTAAATTAATCTGTGGAGGAAACTATCCAGTCTCAGTTTCAATAAGATATGAAGAAAACGAAATCCTAAGTACTCTTAAAATTCTGATCTGAAATTGAATGATAAGAGCTAACTTTTAGTCAATAGTCAATATTCATTCAGTCTAATTTTGAGTGATGTTGATGTTTGACCGATGTAGTTAACCGTTCAGTCAGCACAAGGTATTTTAAACATGACAATTTTTATCCAGTCTTCATTGGATCTTTTAGTTGGTTTAGTTTAGTTTTAGTGAGGCTCATTGATTTAAATTTGGTTTAAGCAGATGCTTTTCTGATATTTCTTTGTACTGTCTCAGATGTACTACCTGTAGTTAAATCTATGGTAATTGTTCAGACAGACAAAGAAAATACAAAAGTGATCCTTAGTGAAACAATATATATTGAGATTACTGAATATCTACTATCTGGATCTCATTTCATAATAACCAAATCACTAGAAGCGATAACCAATAAGACTATGAATGAAACAGCAGAAGCGGTTAGACAAATGAAGCAAACTATTGATAAGCGCGAATGGTTTGAAATTATGCCAAATCATGTAATATGTCTAGAATATATGGGATAATAAAACGACACGAAAAAGGGTATCCAATAAGGCAGATAGCAGATTTCAGAAACATACCGAAGTACATGCTACCAATGTGAGACACCTCACAAGTAAGACTAGTAGGTTCATTCAAACCAATAGAGAAACTTGAGGACACCAAAGTTAGTACAGAGGACCTAGTTAGTGTTGAAATAACCAGGTTAATTAATAAAATACCAATAGCTATTGGTACATCGAAGACAAGATTAGACAAGGATGATAGTCTTCAAGAACAAACACAGTTATTAGTGGAAGATATATTAAAAAGGGTAGAATTCGATTTAACAACAACTTATTTCACATTTGAAGGAAAGTAATACCGACAAAATGAGAGAATGGCTTCGGGATCACCCATCTCCGCAATAACAGCCGACAGATTCATGGACTTTTGGAGGAGAACACTCGCTAAAAGTAAACGTGTTCTCAATTACAAGTTTGCAGAGATATATGGATGAAACACTTGCTATAATACAGAAACAGGATATTGAAAATTTCCATGTACAAATAAACAGTCATATTGATTCAGAAAAGTTCACTATGAAATTAAAAAATAAATAGCGGAAACTACTGATTTTCGACTGTAAATTCCAAGGAACGACAGATTTCAGTCTAAAAATCATCATCCATAGAAAACCTACGCACTGAGGAAGATTTCTAGATTACTACTCAGCGCATCCCCTTAACATAAAAAGAGGATTAGTATGAAGTCTGTCAAAAAAAATACCTAGTTTGACGACTTGTTCTAATGATCAAAATATTATTCAGAAAACACGGAAAGCGATAAGAAAGATGAGTATAAAAAGATTGTCATATTGTTATATCGGAGAAGTACATATGAAGCAATGAGAAGAAATCTCAGAAAAGCAAGCGTTGGAACCACATTTCAACCAATGAGACTCACTAAAACTAAACTAAACCAACTAAAAGATCCAATAAAGAAATTGGATAAAAAATAGTCATGTATAAAATAACCTGTGTTAACTGCTCGGTTAACTATGTACGTCAAACATCGAGATCACTCAAAATTAGACTGAATGAACGTCAATGACTAAATAAAAGAACACAAAAAACATAAAAATTTGGAAAAATACTTATCCATAGCAGCTCATACGTAGGATGGGATTGGAACAATGTTTGCATTTTAAAGTTCAGTATGAACAAATGGAATGAAAGATTGATATTCAGATTCATATTCATATATGTCACCCCGTAACACAAGTAACATAGGTGACTGAAAATATACTGCTAGCTAAAAAATAAGAAAGTTTTTTAATTGCTCTTATTGATTGTCAAGTCACTGTTTAAACCCAGTTTTATGCGCCTATTTGCATTGAGTAGAATCGATTAATCGAAACAATTCTACACTCCTTGGGTACTACATCATAAGCTCCAACACACTCACTGGTGACTGTTGAAAGAGTCTTCAAAACGGTTATATACTCCCTTGGAAGTCTCTGCAGCAAAAGATACCGTTATAAGACCTCTTGATCAACGGAGTCGAATGCTCCCTTCAGGATAAAATATAAAGCTAATGTTGGACGCCAATAAGTGTGTCTATTTTCGAAGACATGGTGAAGAGTGAAGACATAGTCAACACACGCGAAATGCCAATCGAAATCCTGCCTGGTTTTTTAGAGTTGGTGCTCTCGAGCTTAACTGAGGCATTTTATGATTGCATAACCCAGAATGTTTTGTACAATTTTTGTTCTATTGATCTCCTTGAGGTTACAACAGGGGGAATTCTCCTTCTTGCTTAAAAGTTTAATCTGAACAAATGGAAATAAAGATTGATGACTGAATCCATACTCATACATGTCACTTCTAATACATGCAACACAGGTAAATGAAGGCGTTTGCCAGCAATATGGAGTAGAGCTGGGTTAAAAATGACAAACCCGTACACAGTGATATGCATGACATCTGTTGGCAAATGTGTAAATAAATACATCCTACGATTGGTGTGATCACTGAAAGTAGATGTGCTTAAAAAATTACCAAACGAAACGCACTCAGCCACCTTGTGCACAATCCATGGAGTAGGCAATGAGTCATACGGCTAGTGATACTATCTGGCTGCCCAAACCTCAGTATATATATATATATATATATATATATATATATATATATATATATATATATATCGATTCATGCACAAGGAATAAGTTAACTCACTTTATCTATACGCTTCTTTTTTGGAGGAAAAAGGCCCAAACCAAGGTTAGTCTCCTGATGATCTTTAACTTTTGATGACGGTGATAAAGATGTTGATGCTCGAAACAAAGCAGTAGACGATAATTTTTTAATTGAACTACTACTGTTGTTACTATTAGCAGTAGCATTGTTACAGGTATAAACTCCACCCATCTTCACAGCACTAGAATTGGAGTAGCAGCGACTCAGTCCGCTGAATAATATTTTTGATGATGAATTCGTCTTATGAAAAGTTTTCATGAAACATGGGAATTTCCATGTGAACAGAAATATATCCCACTTAATCATGGCTACCAATAAAGAGTATTTATTGGTGTATTCAGCTGAAAAATAAAGTGAAAGCTATGCGAAAATGCAAACAATATACAGGATGAGAGTTCATTTTAAACGGTTTTATATTTTACATCAAAGTATCTAGTTTCCATATAACTGTTCAATCCCATAGCAATTTGCAGGCTTATTAGGATTCATTGATTTCAAGTTGGTATTTATCACTGACCGATATCAATTGGTAACTTGCTAGCCCTCAAGGTCCTTGGTTTGATCCCTGATGGGGTCTTGGGTACTCCCAGATTTCCAATGGTTTTCCAACTGAAGGCAGTCGATGATGAATACTATCCTGACTACAGAATGTTGTTTCCGATTCCGCACGAATCTGTAGACTATGGAGCCATAAAGACTTAACTCATCAGTGCAGATGGAAGATTGTTGACCATGTTTATGATGCAGCCAGTAAATTAAGTGGTACGATACTGATGGTACTTCATTTTGGTGTTATATGTTAGGAATGAGTTGTCAAGAAGTCACATACTTGGGTTTTAGGTTGATTGGCACTCCATCAAAAAGAAATATCTTCAAACACAATTCTCTATGCAACTGGTTGAAAGTCAACACCGTAAACTAATGAGAGTTGAAACAGTGTTAGTAAGTACCCGAATGAATTGATATGATGCACGATACTCCAAAATTTATATCTCTGGTAACCAAATTATGAAGTCCTAAATAACTACTTACAGATAATCTTCTCACATTCCCAAAGAGTGAAGTAAATTTCAAATAGTTAGGATAACCTTCCTATAGATTAGTTTTAGAATATTCTACTGAGAGATGCAGACAGAGGTCCACAAGGAATCCTTAGCTAGTAGAATAGGCGTATACAAGAAAAGTTGAAGCTTTAATATCCATACACTTCTTGATTATTTCGGTGACCTTCCATAACAGTTAGGAGTAAACAAACTCAACTAATCTTCTTAATTCATTTTTACACATACACAAATAGATTTCATGAGAATACAACCACCTACAATTACCCGTCCATTTAAGAAGCTGCAGAGATGAGGATATCAAGAATAATAGCATTAGAAGCAGTATGAATATTATGCCGAAAGGTGTCAGGAATTTATAAGCCTGTAGACGTAGTAGAGTGTGATATAACTCTTCATGTGACATAGCGATTCGGGTAGAACACGCATCTCCCCTTTTCAACAACTACTCATTGAAGTGCATAATATGTTTAACCAATCACTGATTTTAACCTTTGTTTTGAAATCGCTCAGAAAATACACAAGTGAAGAGAATGGATCGTATTAATATAATGTGCAAACCAAAGTAGACGGAGTAGGATTTGAATCCGAAACCCAATGCTAAAAAGTCGAGTGTTGAAGTCAGTGAGCTACTGTTATGATAAGATTTTATCAGACGGTTGGTAACTGACTGTTAGACAGCCAGGTGATTTGAAAAGAATCATCATGATGACTAAAAGGATACTTACACTAGACTTATGTATAAATCTCTCAAACACGTAATAAAAAACTTAGAAATTTCGGCTGAAAGCTTAAAATTGCAGTCAAACTGTTTGTATCAACATCATGTCAATCACTTTTTGTACTTCTACTAACGTCAGTTTATTAGTCACGAACGAAACTCAAAATACTTAGCCAAATATATTATGTTGTCTAGTACATATTTCAATTAAAATGAAACTATTGCGATAGGTATTTCTTCCTACTTTATATACATTTCTATGAAAGTATCCCCATCATGATAAATACTCTGAAAATTCTTTATTCCTCCTGTTAGGAATGATTTTTAGAAATTTACCTGCTGAATGCTACTTAGAAAAGGAAATCAATTAGGTTTTGGAATTAAGGTCAAATAAGTACTAACAGATAAAGTCTAAGTACTAACTTTTTAGCCAAACCAATGAGTTGATTTCTAGGTAAAACCAACTATGCTCTTTACGCAGAGTTTACGGTCAAGCACTTAACCAAATGCTAGACTACATGTACTCACATCTGAGCTTGTGCAATACTGAAGCCTCTTCACGAAAAGTTGGTAACCTTAACGTAACAAAAGGCTTGAGATAGAAGAGAATTATACGAAGACCAGAGATTAAGCACCATAGTAAAGCTGCTACTTTAAGTATGATGAATGCTTCGTGAGCTCTAAACAGTTTCTGCACCTCTATTAGACTACAGTCAGATTAGAAAGGGTAAGTACAGTTATCACACTAATCGGCCAGTATGTCCAGAGACACGTATTAAGTTCCCAGAGGATATAATACGCACGCTTGCCTGACGTCTAACTTCGTACGCAAAAGATCCACCGACTCCGAACCGGACGAAATAGAGAAGACTGAACTAGATGGGAGAGTTTCTTCCTCCATAAAGAACAGTTAATTAAAGCAAAAACATGTGTGTATAAGTACAAGCGATAAGACTTTGTCCAGAGTTTGAAACACTAACGTAGTAAAAGCGAGCATTAACCAACTAACGAATTACCTTGAAAATGGAGGAAAACAACTGGCTTTGCCTTAAAAATGGAGCGAAAATGATAGTTAAAAGTGTTTTGATTCATAAAAAGTGTTTTATGTAAATCTGGGGCCTTCTGAGAGTATGCTAGTTCTGAAGAATTATTTCCAATTCCGCTATAAGTCTTACATTCTCATTCTACTATGATAATGATGTTAATTTATACACAGTCAAGCAGTGAATCATAAACTCAACCCCTCAAGTCATTAACCTAAACGTCTGTTAACAGAAGAGCCTACAAGATAAGATATATCAAAAGAGAGTAGAGTGAATCCTTGAAGAACAACATTCATAGTGTACGTTATCTGGCGTAAATGACAGCATTTGTCAAATTTCTACCAAAGAGCAGAAATACTAGAAAAAGTTAAATAGTATCTGCCCTAGTTTAACAGTTAGATGAGAACCAATTACAAATCTCTGCACGTTTTTAAATCTAAAAATGTTTAGGAATTATTTACAGATGAGATGATAACCAGCTAAACGTAATTTTCCATCACCAAAGTGAAAATTCGATTCCGTTAGCAGTTTGTTTTAAAGCCTAACTTATGAAGCAATTCCTTGCCTGATTAAAAACTAACTGCAAACTGGAGTTTTGCTCAAATTTGATGATAAATGGCGAATTTGTAACATCGATACAAACCCCTGAACTAAATTCTTACTCTATTTGGTGGATATCAGTAACGTGTACTTAAAAATACAAACTAGTTAAGTTGGAAATAACTTCCTGTAGAACTGAGCACCTCACCGAATAAAACTATTGAGACACACTTTTTTAGTGAAACAATGATGGAGGAATAAACAATGAAATGAAGACACCAAAACTGTTTAATGTTGATGACAAACACAACCAGTAAGGCAAATAAGAAGGATGAGAAAGACATTTTTCCAAGTATTTTATTTTCATCCCTTAAAGGTACAATAACAATTACCAAATTAAAAATAGATAATTTCAAATCATTCAAAAATAAAACTAACAGCTATATGAAGCTTTAAAAAATATATAGAAAATAATATATCAATAAATAAATAGTTCGATAATTAGATGCCTAAAAATCACTTGAACTCAGGTTGTTTTCCAGAGGCTAGAATCTTCTCCAGTTCATCTAATGACCAATAGGCATGCTGTAAACAATTTTCACCAGCACCCGGTTTACTAATATGTACAAGACGAATTCCTGGCTGATCGTTACCCAGTTGTACACAAACTGACGATGAACTAATCATTGAAAAAGGCAAATTATTCTTTTTTGAACCATCATTATCATTCATATTCTTTGTCACGTTGTTGTTGTCGTCTATACTCGGAGTATATGTGCTGATATTATTCTTATGCAAATGACCAGAAAATGCATAATAAATCCCATTTTTGTGAAGTTGATCAACAATTTCTTTACGATATTTTATAGGAATGTTGAAGTAATCATCTGGTTCGTTTATATCATTCAGGAAAAATGGTATATGCTAAACAAAAGAAGAGACAAAAGTCTGAAAGAATTCGAAAACTAATTGATATATAATTTACTGATTTCATCAACCTTGAATGAACTCAAAAAGCAGAAACTAGAAAAAGCAACAATCGTCCTGAACAACAAATTACACCCCCAACTGAATTAGTTGAAGGGATATTATTGATTCCGCTGGTGTGACAGTAATTAATGTGAATATCTGCTTCTTAAGTGAAATCGTTTACAGATAGGCAATCAAACAACATATTTTCTGAAAAGGGAAGTCTTTATTTGGTGGTCTCGTCTCTGTGTCATAATGTATTCATATCAAGAATCAACTAATCGAGGGTTAAATCCCTTGAGTTACGCATAGAGATTAATTCTGCTGAAGCTTTCTATGTGAAAATATTTGTGAAAACGACCCTGAGTAAATATCCTAGATTATTTTTATGCATTTCATACAACCTAGTGCCCATTTTACGAGTAACTCAAGGTAATTTGTGTTTATTTCGGTTGCGAAAATCCAGCTTCACTCAATTTGAAATAGTAGTGATCAGTCTGGGACAGTACAAAGAACTTGTTATAGATTTCGCTGATAGGCATTATCAGAATAATTTAGTAATATATAACAATATAACAGACCTGTAAAGTACTTCTAGTACCAATATAGTAGGGAGTAATATAACAGTGAACAACATGCAAGTTACAGCCAGCCGGTGAAAGATGAAAATGACTAATTCGATATGACCGAAGACGATTATAACGAAAAAATAACAACGGAAGCCAAGTGAGAAAAAATAAAACAATATGGAAGGTGATTGGTGATGTCAATGAAGACCTGAACTGCTATCGAAGGTGAACAAATAAAAACTAGACTGCTAACATCACGGAAGATTGTTTTCTCTATATGTCTCAAGCAAAAACTGGACCATTAGTTTTAATTTGTGCAAGTAGTCCGCGCAACCAAGGGTTTAAACACATCTTACGGAAACCTACAATCAAGAGGTAGGATATGATTGGCGGCTTTCAGAGTCACATTTGCCTAGTTTTTAAAGATAGGAAGACAAAACTGCTCGGGATGCCGATGGCTTAAATCACACACTTTAAGGCTGTAACTATTTGATGTCATAAGCAGTACAAACTCATCATGTAAGGGTTATTAACACTAAAATTGGCCTATCTACTAAAGTAAGCTAACAAAAACAATCATTCCCAACAATGTAGTAGGACAGGCAAGTCTAATCCTCATATTAACATAGGTGCTGACAATCAACAGAGCTTCTCAACAAGTCAACCAGTGGGTTTAGCAACACAAAATCTAGACTCGAGTTATCGGAGTTATACATCATTGCCTAGTGATGATGTTAGGATGTCAACTTGAGAGCGAATACTATACATTCTGGGATAAACGAAATGTACATGTTCAAGCAACAAATTTAGTGAACTCCAAGCCATAAAAGCATTCAGTCCTTAATAAGTGGGATAAAGAAGGGGTTGGCACAATAATGTATTCAAGTGCATAACCACTACATAGTCAGACGATACGACACAATAACTAACAGTAAGGCAGCTGGGAAGATCTCAACAACCAAAACGAGGGGGGGAATGACATATAACCACAAGATTTTCAAAATTTAGAACTGGATGAAGAATATGTGTACAGTGAGTCACAGTGGTTGTTTTCGAGTTAACGCCCACTTATGTCTCTGATAATTGAATATTGTAATTCTCCAGATTATGTCCTCAAAAATTAAAACTGACTGCATACTTTAGAAAAGTCGCGAATAACTCGAAGTTGCCGTTTTTCTCATATGAGTACCTTAAAAGCTTACCAATCCTATCCTCAATCCAACTACTACTGAACACGTAGGTGGTCAAGTGACTGCACAAAAACTGTGTTAACGACCTCAAACTGTCATGAATCACAAAACCACGAATTTACATTTTACTACTATTGCGTGAGGCTCAACTTTGAAACGATTGTGTTAAGTAGTGTTTTAAGGCGGATGATAGTTGCAGTTATACTGTTATACAGCAGCAAGTAGACAGAAAGCACGAAAATGTCAACCATGAAAACGTAAGTAAAATATTGACGAAATAATATTTTGAAGTTTGGGTATCAGCATTCATTATGAAATAAACTAGATAACATATTACCTGAAATACAATTGAAGTGTCAAAGTCTTTGTTCTTCAACGAAAGTTGTTCATAAAACCACTGACGAAATTCATTGGCTATGGATTCACACTTTGAATCATCCCATAAATACTGTGTATTGAGCACGAGGAACCTCACGCGGTTAAAAATGAATGAAAAATAATCATCCCCCCAAACACTGATATAGTCTTTTACACCAACAATATTAGGACAGTTGCCAACATCATGATTTCCTGGCAGCACAATGAGTGGGATATCACTCTTGAGATGAGAGAGAGAGACTAGCAGGTCTGATGTTTGTTTGTCCCGATCTTCAAATCCTGGTTCATCATTAACGAGATCACCACAAACGACTACAAACCCTGGTTTTGGGCTCAAACGATTTATGATACTCACTGCTCTATTCACAAGATCCACTTCTCTGTCCCAATGACGAGGTGGTGGACGCTTTTCCACATACTGTTCAAGTAAACCAAGCTGAGGGTCAGCAATAACTACAAACGTAAACGAATCTGAAGCTTCTGTAGGAGTAGTAAGTGATATAGTCCGATTTTTAGCGGGAAACAAAGCAGAACAATGAATATTGATAGATTCCATGTTTCGAATCTCCAAAAAAAGAACAAGAAAAGAAGTCCAGTCAACACCCGAAAAAGTGGCTAAAACAAAAGTGAATTTAAGCTAAATATGTTAATTAGAATCTATTTGTTGGTTTAAAGCTTAGAAAAAAACAAAAGGCTTCATGTGTTGTTAAACCTAGAAATTCGCCAACATATACCCCAGTTATCACCGGAATCTACAAAATATAGGGGGGAAAATATAATAATTGGCTGCGCATACGGGTGATTTCAGCATAAAAAGTTGACGAGTTACGCACACCTAGTTTATTTAGTGTTCTTAATTTTGGTACAAGAAAAAAAGCGCACTCAGCAATCTCGCACACATTCGTGCAATAGGTAATGAGCCATATCCATTGTGTGAGGGCTAGCGATACTGCGTGGCTGCTTAAACCTTGGTAGGTGGAGCGAAGTTCGAACCCGTGACCCAATGGTTGGGTCATCTCCGTAAACCAATGAGCCATAACCCCACAAACTAGGTACGTCATGTATGTTAATTAATAGGCATTTCGATAAAAACTATGAGCAATACGAGGATAGCAAATCTGCTTTCTAGTTAGTTTATCAGGTGTGTCACAGCAAAAACAATGATATTTACTAGATACTGATAATCCAAGCAAATAAGAAAAAGTGTTAAATCTCTCAGACATGACAATTAGTGTAAAACTATCGTATCATATGTAACTTGATTTCTTCTCATTTTCGTAAATGCATACTTGAATGTCACCTTAATACTTATTGGCTTGACAGTACTATGGACAGTTTAAGGTCACTTAACTAGCTGCTCAAGCTAAGTACAACTCTTCAACTCTACGCAGTATGCGATACCACTGATGCTTAGTGGTAAGAAAATATTCTGGTCGTAAGGTCATTGGTATGACAGTCCCGAGATTGAAAAACAAAGGACCCCAAGCGTGAGGATTTAACGGATGAATAAAGCTCAATATGGCATTTTAGTGTCATTACCTCACAACAGAGAATCATTATCTGCATATGGATGTGTCAGATCGAAACAAACAACTAAATAAGAAAGATGACCTTACTAACCAATCTATTCTATGGCATTAAAAGTGCAGCTAGAAAGTGAGAGATCCCAAATAAATGCATATCAAATTTACACAAAATTCATCTAGGTATCAGGAGGCCTTCCTGAAAAAAGCATACACATAAAACCGCCAAATACTCAATCCAGGATTACTAGTAATACTGGGTGGTACATTGAGTACCTTATTTATTGTTAGATGTACTTCAATTTCCGTTAATTTACTATTTCAACCAAAGAAAGATGATAAAATATTTAACCTTGAAAGCCACTAGTAATAAGACAGACAACAAAGTGATATCTAATTAATGTTGAAAGTTTGAGGATTGCTAATTGAACCCAATGCACATCGTAACTTGCGTAATAACTCACCGTATGTGTTAGAGAATATGCCACTCTGGATCAACCTCACAAGGGTGAAGTGCCCATGAAACTGCAAACTGATAAAAAATGTGGCGTTGAATTTCTACATTTCGAAGTTTTTTTCGGGTTCCAGTTGATGGCGACTACGTAAAAAAAGTGGTCAAAGTAGCAGAGTCGCGTAGGGTTTAGTAATTTTTTTGGACAACCCCTAGAAAAATGACATTTCTATCGACTTCAAGAAGCAACGAACCCAGAATCAGGAAAGCAGTCCCTTTGTTGCAACTTGTAACCCATCTAAAACCTAAATGATAGTATTAACCATGTTTGTATTCCTTTCCTTTCAGGGTTTGCTACGGAAAACACTTGGTAAAAACAGAACAGTGAACGCAGCAAATCAACATTGACGATAACAGACAAAACTTTGACTCGTATCACATCCCAACTGTATCGGCTGTTTTTAAGTATTGCGTGGAGTAAAGACATCTGTAGGTGCGACTTGAGTTCTGCTTCTAGTCTAACTACTACAACTGCAATCACTTCCACGAACTTTAAATAATCGGAAGCTATACAAACAAAAACCGACGGTGAGTCGCCAGTTCTCACGCTCAAACTCTGCAGTTCACTTCAGAAGTAGCGTGTTACATCACGCAAATCACGTGTTTCATTTTAAACAGACTATCGAAACTGGAAGTTGAATATGCAGTCTCTCCTACCCTATGTTCCTCCTACTAGCCACTACCACCACATTCTAGTGTCCCTAGACAATGAAGCACCCCGAATCGCAGCCGAGGTTAGGTTTCCCGCCACAAATCCCTCACTTGGATGGGTGTTTCGGCCTGCAGTTACGCTCTCAGCAGCAAATAATCAGGCCCATTCTCCGCTGAAAATTGACTGCCAAGCCTCTCATTGACTATTTGCATGCACTGTAGTGTCTCGTTGTATAAGGACTACCTAGTATAGATATGTTAGCAACAGAGGCCTTAGTTTGCTCCTGTTTTGTGGAAAACCACTCGGCTGACCTGCTAAATTATTTTTTGCAAGTACCGACAAAGTCTACCAGCGATGGTAATAGCATGTCCCTGTGTTTTGTGAACGCCAAACTAAAAACTTCAGCTGCTCCAGCACTGTGTAGCCTGCAAGCTCACGACAGTGGTTCCTCAATGATAAATACGGTGACTGCAATTAACCGACTACGACGTTGGTGTACGGTTCATGGAAGACCTCGCACAACAGTCACACAGAACAACCCCTCATAGCAGATGGCTTCAGAAGGCTGCTACTACTGTCAGCAGTGTGACTTTCGAGCTCAGCGCTGTGGACACAACCGCTGTAATAATAGTAGTAAGTACTCATTTCACAGTTCATACGCTGATTCATATGACTAAGACACACGGACTTTACTTGAAACGATGAACGAAGTGAAGCTTTAAATCCATGTCGATAAGGAGGCATATTTTGAAAGGAAAAGAATACAAATATGGTTAGCACTACCAGTAATGATTGAAAGGCAGCAAAGACTGGCTTAGTAGCGCACTGCTCAAAAATGCGCAGGTATGAATTCGAATGCAAGTATCAAATATCCAATATTGATAGTGCCCGCATAGAAAACTGACGGTTTGTGATCTCTAGCGTCTAGTTCTTACGGCTTGGTTCGATTTTTCCGGTTCACTCTCGTGGTGACCAGGAAATCTCCAATGCTTTCTTGTCTTTAGCTTCGGTGATGTGGATATTTTGTGGATTAGTAAGTTGCAATTTGTGGAGTGACTAGGGGCTATAGGTTGCTGGAAGTTTAGGAGACTTTCGTGGCTCCTGCCTGTGTGGGTACTTGAATGAGAATAGTAGGGTAGTGGTAAAGAAAGAAGGAGAAAAAGGCATGGGGGAGTTGCCTGAGAGGTAAAAGTAGATAACGTAGGTCTATCTTCTAGGGAAGAATTAGTAAGTAATATGGGTCTGTTAGGTAGAGAGATCGTGAGTGGCAGGCAGAAGGTGGGTGAGGGTGTTCTGGTGAGGTTAATGCCAACAGGTTCACCTATTTGTGGAGGTAACAGACGAAGCTTTAACTCAACTAGCTTCCGATGTCAGAAGTTTTGGACTGTTATTTCGTGTATCTGAGAACTTAAGCATGAATTTAAAGAGGAAATGAAATTCAGAAAATTGTTGTGACCTTAAGCCTAAATTTAGTTAATTTTGAAGGATTTTGATGATCCCACCTTAACAACTTCTACGAAAAGAGTATTTCAGGCAGATACAACTCCCATGGAGCATAAATTACGTCCAGTATTTGTTTTGTTGTTTCGATTTCTGTCTCATCGGTGTTCAGCCTTACGGTTCAAAATTGGAGCCCAGTTTTAGCAACTGGTGAAGCGGGGAAACTAAGCTGTTGAACACGTTATGCAGCATTATCAGTCCACTTCTTAGTCCTCTTCACTTCAGGGGATATAGACGGGGAGCTGACGCGCGTCGCAAGAACGTCTTGAAAAGGCGCAAGAAACCTATTAGTCCTTATTCTTTAAGTGTTTTTCAAGCGCTTCTTGCATTTTTGAAGTGAACGAGGAAAGACCATCGTCTCAAACCCTGGATATTTCCTCTCTAAGTTTTTGATAATTTTTTGAAGAAATCTTAGACAAAGCTGTCGTAAGACTACACGCTGGCTTGCAACGCTAGAACTACATTCAAGTGAGTTTTGTCACAGTGTAGGATTTGAAGTCACAGGGGACTACGACTTCGAGATCCTTTTCTATCGGATATACCCCCAACCCGAAGTCCTTTCGCTTAATTCGTAACACATGTCTTATCGCTTATATTTTTCAGAACTGAAGGTTAGTCCTTTGTGGTCTACCTACTGTCGCTTTTGCCGTTTATTTGTCTAAATAGCTGCACGCCATTAAAAAATTGCTTTGAGAGACAACCGAGGAAACTAGTCATCAGTGAAAATGAAGAACAGGAATGACCGGGAAACCAAACCCTTGAGGATCCTATGATTGTTTCAAGTTTCTTTGGACATGGTGTTATTCACAAGAAACTTAAAGTGACATGTCGACCACCGGTAAACTGATTCCTGTCAGCCCCGACGTTGTGCTGAGTCTTCTGGCCGATGTGATCTAAACCATTGGGAAGATCGAAGTATGCGACATCTATCCTACATCGATGATTAATAATGATGGCCCAATTACCCACTGTGGTTTGCAGATTAGTGACACATGAATACCCTCTTCTAAGATCAAGCCGGTGGAGTGAGAAGAAACTAGCGAATATCGGGTAGTTTCTTCAACTGTAGTAGATCCGAGACCTCTCGCTTTCGGGGGCATTGACATTTAGTTGGTAAATGTGACATGGCGTAACCTCCCAAGTTCGGAAACTGTTTCGGGGTTAAGGGGAAGCAATAATAATCCGTTGAAGATTTCAGTGAAAAGAGGGTTTCATGAACGAAGGACAGTAGCACGCGTCTGAGTTGAACACACATCCGTCATAAAGTTTGTAAACTTATTATGCACCCTATCGACACTCAGATCATAGTCCGATAGTCCCCGTGAAGTGGCTGTGAATATCGTCGTATGCAGTTGATGACGAAACTTTAG